TAAGTAGACTTGAAATGTTAGATGTGCTTCTAAGGGCTGTCTGTGTTTTTCCTGTATCATTAGAGATTATTCCACTTGGTATATATCCACATACATTTTAAAACATAACCGCATAAAAATTGTCCATAAATATTTGTAGTCACACTATTCATAACAGCATGTTTTAGTTTCTTTTTGTTTGCTTTGAGAAAGTGCCCAGACAAAAAGTAACTTAGGGGAAGGAAGTGTTTATTTTGGCTTACAATTCCAAAAGGATAGAATCCATCATGGTAGGGAAGGTAGAGTAGCAGAAGCCTAAAGTCGGGCTGAAAGTCAGGAGGCAAATAGAGAACAAGAAATGTGGCCATAAGAGCCTATGGGGGACATTTCACACCCAAACCACAACACAGCCTCAAATGGAAACAACTGAACAATTAGCAGGTAGGTTCTGGGAATGCTCTTGTCTCTCACCCAGGCTCCTCATATGAGAGGGGGCACGACAGACGTGTGAGCTGCCATGTCTGGCTTGATGTGTATTCTGGGGATTCAAACAAAGATCCTCATGCTTGTATGGCAAGCACTTTATCTATTGAGGTATCTTCTCACCCCTCCCCAATTTTTAGATGACTTTCTATTTGTTTGAAAGGCAAATCAAAGCCTTCACATTCTTCCATCATCTCTCTCCAGAATACGTATTCATACCTCTTGTTCACTAAGAATTACGAGTTCTATTTGCCAGTGTCTGCATTCCTACGTAATTTAGTTCATTTCCTGCCATGGCTTATGAACTTTATTTTGTCTAATAGTCCTTTATTGTCGAAGTATTCAAATCTTGTTCCTCATTCTGTATTTCTTGCAACATCTGTGTATTCCACTCTCTCTCAGAATCGTGGTTTCCAGTTCACCAGGAATAGAGTAGATGACTACTGACTGCTCATGTGAACTCCAGTTCTAAGCAATGGCAAAAAGAAAAAGGGAGTTGCCACACTGGAAGGCCAGAACCAATGGTTATGGGTATCAGCATCTGGGAAACTTTAAGAGACCAGGAGGATACAGAGTACATTGTAGAAAAGGTATGCAACATCAAGTAACCTGCAACAGAGGCATGCTCGAAATGGTGGCACTTCTTGCTCTCCTTAGAAAAAGGGAGTTGCCACACTGGAAGGCCAGAACCAATGGTTATGGGTATCAGCATCTGGGAAACTTTAAGAGACCAGGAGGATACAGAGTACATTGTAGAAAAGGTATGCAACATCAAGTAACCTGCAACAGAGGCATGCTCGAAATGGTGGCACTTCTTGCTCCCCTTAAGCAAATGATGTGTGTGTGTGTGTGTGTGTGTGTGTGTGTGTGTGTATGCATATATGTTAGACACTCTGTTGAATAGTGAGTGCATGTCCCAGAGAAATTATTCAAGGGAAGAAAGTGTAACCTACATGTCCATTCCTGGAGGAAGGAATGTATAAATATGCTGACATTGATGCCACAAATTATCAGGCAGCATTTAAAGTCAACTGATATACAAATAGCAACATGAGTGGATTTTAAAAATATACTAATAGGAGTAGAAAAGTGTAATGATAACTCTTTATGCCAGCTGCCTGAGTTCCGCCACAATGTTAGGGCCCCAAAATAACACACAGAGACTTATAAGTACAATGCTGCTAGCCAATGACTAAGATTTCTTATATGTTAGCTCAGTCTTTTTTTATTCTTTAATTACAACTCATATTTACATATCCATCCCCCATTCCCTTGCCCTCTAATCCTGCCATGTTCCCCCAGCCCCTCTAACCTCCCACCCTTCCCCAGGGATAGAGAGGCCTCCCACCAGGGACCTTCAAAGTCTGTCAAATCATTCAGAGGAGGGCCTAGACCCTCCTTGCTGTATCTGGGCTACAGTAGTATCCCTCCATAGAGAATGGGCTCCCAAAGTCTATTGTGCTCTAGGGATAAAGACTGGCTCCACCATTAGAGGTCCCATAGACTGTCTTGGCCTCCTAGCTGGCACCCACATTCAGAGGGCTTGGTTTGGTCCAATGTTAGCTTAGTCTTAATTATCAACCATAACCATTAATCTATATATTTTATAAAGACTTACCTTATCGAGGACGCCGGCCTTATGCATCCTGTCTTCCTAGGGAATCACATGGTGACTTCTGTCTATACTACATTTCCCAGAATCCTCCTCAACTCCTAGTCCCACCTATCTTGCTTTCCTATTGGCCAACAGTGCTTTATTTATCAACCAGTAAGACAAACATACACACAGAAGTACTTTCCCTATCAGAAAGGTACATGTACATGTGTGTATAGTCTATGTGAATTATAGCTATGACTATAATAAAATGCCACAGACCTTCTCTGGGGCCACTCACATATAAAACATGTATCTTTTGCACCATGGATCAGTTGTTTATGAAGATAGGGAGGTGGCAGCAGGATGTGGGGTTCAAAAAGTAGGAAGGAGGGAAGGGGTTTTGGTTTAGGTTTCAAGTGTTCTCCAGTGGTCCACATGCTAATGACTTGATTCCAACCTGTGGTGATTGTGAGGTGGTGACACTATGGTTGTTGCTGCTCTCTCTTCCTCTTCCTTTCTTCCTCCCCTCCCTCTCTCTCTCCCTCTCCCCATCTCTCTCCCCTTCCCTCCCTTTCTTCCCTTCTCCCCTCTTTTCTCTCCTTTCCTCTCCTCTCCCTCCTTCCCTCCCTCCCTCCTCTCCCCTGTACTCTTCTTTTCTCCCTCCCTTTCCTCTCTCCTTTGTTTCTATGAAGTAACCAGCTTTGTTCTGCCACACTCTCCTCATTATGGTGCTGTTTTACCACAACCCCCAAAGAAATAGATCCAGCCAAATGTGGATGCAGTCCTGGAAAGTGGGAGCCTAAACAAGCTTTTCTTTTTTAGAACTTGTTTTCCTCAGGCATCTTGTCACAGAAAATAGAAAGATGACCAGTGAAAAAGATATTCACAGACACAGAAGAATATTGCTGGGAAGATAGTTTACCTAAAACACATAAAATTTAAGTATGATGAATCAAAAGAGAAAAGCTATCGGAAAAAGAATGAAATATTGCAGAAAATGGACTTCCTAGTAAAAGAATTCTGTGGACATTCATTTATGTGGTCTCAGTTACATAAAGATACATATAATAGTACTTACTATAAACTCCACATTTTAGATAAATTATGCATCATTTAACAATAGCTAGTTAGACATATGTTTAGAGCTAGTCTGCTTCACTGATGATGAGGTGGCTTATCTATCTTTTCATTGCTTTGAGTCAGCGTTACTTCACCTCATCATAAGGTGTAGATTCCATGTTAGGAAATCCATGCCTATTCACGAGATTTCTTGGGATTAGCAGCTAACTCAGGCTGACCAGATTCAAACCCAGATTAACTTATAACAATAAATTCATGCTGAATTTCCCACATAAAGACAAACATATCCATTGTCATCATTTCTTTTTAATTAATGAAATGGAGGAGAGGAAATGCCGAGGCAGACAATAAAGTTCCAGTTCTGAGCAGTCCCTTGAATTAAATGAAGTCCTCCATTCATCATTGCACTTTTCTTCTTGACTCAGGCCATGATACTGCTTTTAACATGTAGGAAAAGGGTTGTTTTCTTCTAGGAACCTGAGGTAATGTGGATGGTAGGAAATTACTAATTAATTCGATTTAAGAACTATACAATTTCAGTAGCACTTTAAAAGGAAATCTAAGGGGTAAATAGTCATATCGCTGAGAGTCTTAAATAAACAAGGTCATGAGCTGTACTTTTTTCTCTTTTGTATTGGTCCTGAAACCCATAGCCTTATACATGCTAGCGAGAGCTTCACCTGAGATACTTCTCAGACAAAACCATGCTGTTTTTTTAAAGTCCTTATTATTTTTTAAATCATTTTTCTCTCCTTTCCTCCTGCTATTTATTTCCCTTCCTACTTTTTCCTCTCCTATATATTCTGCTCCTCTCTATTTAAAATTTATTAGTACGAGTAGAAAACCATTTCAACTTATGTTCTTTCTCTTGTCCCTTTGTTCAGAGAATTTGAGTGTGTTTCACTTTTAAGTAAAGTCACATATATCTTTAAAAAAAGATTTATATATGTGTATGGGTGTTTTGCTTTCATGCATACCTGTGCACGATGCATGTTTCTGGTATCCACAGCAGTCAGAGGAGAGTTGTTGGATTCCCTGGAACTGGAATTATGGATGGTTGTAAGCCAACATGTGGGTTCTGGGAATAAAACCTGGATCATCTGCAAGAGCATTAAATGCTCTTAACCACTGAGCCATTACTTCAGTCTCAGCCATATGTTTTTAAAGTTTATGAGTGCTATGCATTTAGGTGAATTTCAACCCCATATTTCACCAAGTTATCCGAGGAAAATTTATTGAAAGGCAAACAGTGATTGAGATATAAGTACTCTCAGAGGTAGCTTCTGAGGCAAGATAAAGGGGAAAATCTAAGAAGAAATGCATCTGATAATGTCTTCTCCCTTTTTAATTTTATCACATTAATTTCAGACAGAGATTCCTTAAGGAATTCCATCTACAAATTAAGATAGTGCACTGAACAAGGTGTATTCACGGAGTAAGAATCAAGTGATGAAGCTGGGACACAGTGTTTGTGGGGGTGGATGGTGGGAACTACGGTCAATCAAGTAGTGCTGAATATAAAACCCGGCACCAGTGTTTCTATCACTGTCCTCTAACCCAAGTTACCCACCCGACTTCTTTTTAGTGCTGCTTCTAGGTATCAAACAGAGACTCTCACAAATCCTACCGAGTCCTCTACTGCTGAGCTATCTCCTCAGCTACGCTTACTTCAGATAGGGTAATTTATTTAGCTTCAATTATAGAAAGAGCTGTTTAGTCCTGCAAAACGTATTCACCTACTCTACCCACAGTTTAGAGATGACACTATTGATGCTTAATTCTTTCTAAGTTATTTGGACAGGATACCTCACAGAAGTTAGTAGCTTCTGTTCACTAAAGGAGAAATGATAGACTCACTATTTTATTCTTCTGTTTGTCTTGCTTTGTAGGTCCACTCAGTTACTATGGCTGCCATTAACAACTCCAGCATAGTGAACAGGAAGAGATATTGTGTAAGCATCCTAGCACTTCGCTGTATCCCAAAAGAAAACATACAGTTTTACTTAATCTTTTTACTTTTGAGAATTTCACACACACACACACACACACACACACACACAGAGAGATAGAGAGAGAGAGAGAAAGATATATTATCTACTCCCATTTCTTCCTCCAACTCCTCTTGTGCCAACCTGTGATTCCCCTCCCCATTTCGTGGCTTTTTTTTGATAGCCCATGTATGTATATGTGTGGAGCCATCCACTGGACTTGTGGCCATATCCTTACAGAAGTATGATTCTTCTTCCCTTTGGCAATTCAATAGCTCCTTAAAAAAGGTTGGGGCCTGGTGTTCATCTACTCTGTCTATGCCAGAATTTTAGTTGGCTTGGTCTTGTATAGATACTGTGCAGGTAATCACAGATGCTCTGAGTTCTTTATGATAACCATATCATGTTCAGAACATGGCACTTGACAGAATTCCTCCCCATCTTTTAACTCTCACATTCTATTTTTGGTTGTGAGCCTAGCCTTTAACAGCTGAGCCATCTCTCCAGCCCAACTTTTACATTCTAATTCTTAGGCAATGTTTCTTGCTACTCAGTGATGGTGAGATGTCAAACAGACCTAATGTCTACAGAACATTTCATCCAAACACTAAACAATATACATTTTTTTATTAACAGCCCATAGAACTTTCTAAAAATATATAACATATTATGAAACAAAATAAATTTCAACAAATATAAGAAAGTTGAGATAAAATCCTGTGTTCTATTTGACCATAAAGGGATAAAGCTAGGTATCAACAGAAAGAAGTATATCAACTCATGGAGATTAAACTATGTATTTTTAAATAATTGTGTCACTGAAGAAATCAAGAAGGAAGTAAAAACCATTCCTAGAATTGAATGAAAGTAAAAACATAATAGATAAAAGTCAATGGAACACGATGATGACAATCCTAAAAGGAAAGCTTACATACAGCACGTGGTGCCTACATTAAAAAATATTACCTCAAGTTAACAATTCGGTAATTCACTTTAAAGCCTTGGAAAAACAAGAAGAATACAAATTCCCAAACAGTAGCTAGGAATACCCCATATCAGGACTGAAATTAAGGAAATAATAAATAAACAAACAAGTAAAAAACTAATACAAAGAATCACTAAAGCAGAGAGTTGGTTCTTTAAAATAGATTGACAAACCCTTAGTCAAATTAAGCAAAAGAAAGATGGAGAATGCTTAATAAAACAGAAATTAAAAGACACATTAAAACACTTTGCAGCAAAATTCAAAACCATAAAAACATGCCTTAAGAACCTATATTTCGAAGCAACTCTGACTCTGCTGAGATCGCTGGGCTACTCCCACTCCCGACTCAGGGCAGAGTTGAGCTGCTTTGGCCTCTACCTTGGGCCCAACTTCCACCTGCCCACTCTGGGAACTCCTGGCCTGGGGTCTGCAGGCAGGTCGACTCAGCCCCTGAGGACCAAGCAACCCCAAGATGGCTGACATCTCTGTGCTAGTCCCACTCCCACCCATCTGGAGTGTCAGTGCCTCAGACCAGCCTGCACCCACCTTGAGACCTACCAGAGTATCAGACCCTCTTGCACCCACCAGAAGAGAACCTTGGACCTGTACATACCAGGAGAGGAAGACACCTGCACCCACTGGAAGAAGAGATGGGAAGATGACAATATAAGAACACATCCAACAAGAGAAAAACCAATATGATACCACCAGAGGCTAGGGACACAAGCAAGACCTGAACATCCCAACACAGATGAAGCAGAAGACAGCAACTTAAAAACAACTCCATGCAGATGATGGGGACCCTAAGAGGAAATGAGAAAATCCTTCAGAGAAATGGAAGAAAGGACAAACCAAAAATTGCTAGAAACAATTCAAACAGTGCAAGGTTTGAAAGCTGAGATAGAGTCAAAAAATAAACAAACAAACAAACAAA